TGAATTAATCAATCAACATGGCGCCGGGGAGTGGAGACGTGTTGCTTCTCCTCTGTATGTCTTCATCTGTTTCGTATTGTGGGCTTTTTGTATCCAGTGTATCTTTTCAGCAAATATTTATGACCGACAAGTGCTTGTGGACACTGGATCAAGAATTACTGATTTAAACACAGATATTTCCTTTCTTGGGTGCCTCTGCCTACGGATCTCCCTCCACCTGACATGGAGCAGAGCCAGCGAACGCAACAGACGTGGAAGCGGGGAGGACTTCAAGCGAGAGTGAAGCGCCGCGGCTACCGGACCCCACTCCTGAGTGTCCTCCTGGCCAACGTGCAGTCCGTGGAAAGCAAGATGGACGAGTTAAGCCATTAGAGGGATTGTTGTATTCTCTGTCTCGCCGAGACCTGGCTGACACCCAATACACCTGACTCAGCCGTTCAGCTTGACAGATTCTCCACCTATCGCATGGATCGCTCTGGTTCGACTGGTAGTGTATGTCTAATGATACTCAACTCTCGGTGTTCAGATGTGAACATTTTGAAGCGGTTTTGCTCTCAGGAAGGCTGGGAGTATCGCTAAGGATACCAGTCATCCTGGTTTCTCACTTTTCTCCCCCTTCCCTCTGGTACGTGTTATAGGAGCATAAAGGCAAGTACGTCCAGATTCAGAGACAGTTTCTTCCCACAAACTGTTAGATTACTGAACTCTACCCCTACCACTGGCTCACACCGATTTATTTTCTAAGATGTATGTTATTTAACTTGTTGTTGCTGCCGCTGTTCTGTGTTTGATTTTGGTGTTAATGTGTTTGTAGTGGAGCATACGTGTAATGAAAGTTAGAGGGCTGTAATTGCTGGTATTTTGGGCCCCCTAGTGGTGATCAGTGGTAGTGATATTAATTTTTATCCGATGTGTCACAAAGAGAAATCTGTACAGGCTTTTCCAGGCAGGCTGTATCCCCACTCAAGTTTCCCGTCGTCAGGGAGAGACGACAGATGAGATCAGTGCACAGCCCGTACAGAGCTTTCCCCTCAGCTGTGGACAGAGACCATTCCTCTAAAGTACGAGACTATAGGAATTTTTGTATATTTTTGTCTTACATTTGGTAACCCTAAAACATTTGCCAGAAGGAAGAAGTTCATATTCAGAATTGAGGATATGGGAAGGATCTGATATAATTTTTTCTGCCTGTTTGATTATGGATTTTTCAAAGATTATCTGCAGGGAGGGATGCTGTTTCACTCCCATGACTTTCAAACTTGTTTGGATGAGGAGGATAATTTGCGATTTAAAATGAACTGATAGATTACCAAACCACACCGTTATATCATATCTGATAATGCTCTCGATTACAGCATGGTAAAAGAGCAGCATTACTTCCTGTCGAACCCCAAACACTCTAACTCTTTGCAGGAAATATAAGTGCTGCTGAATTTTGGAGCAAACACTCTCCACATGACTGGTCCAGCACAGGTTACTGTCTATGTGTATACCTAAGTACTTATATGAATCAACCTGAGTGATAAGTTCATTTTGGATTACTACATCTGAGTGATCACCAACTGCTCTGGGAACAAGAACTATTTCTTATGTTTTTTTAACATTCAGAATTAGGCTATTGTTGTCACACCATTGCACAAACCTATGGATTTCTGACCTATACAGGTGAGCTGCTTCCTCTGTGCATTGAGCCAAGCACAGCTGTATCATCTGAGGATTTGAAGATGAAGTTAACTACTGATTGCAGAATTATTTGTATAAAGTGTGAACAGAACTGGAGAGCTCAGACAGAACTGAGGGGCACCTGTACTAATGGATCGTGACTCCGAAAGGAAGAGTTTTATTGACCTAATGACATACTGTGTATGATTTGTTAAAAACGGATGGTACCATCAGAGTGGAACAGAGTGAGAGTCAGCAGACTTCTGAAAGACAGGGCACCATGCTGGTGATAATTCCTCTGCACAATTGTTTTACACGAGAGGCAGAGATGCCATCGGGGTCTGTTACCTTTTTCACACATACTGTATGTGCTTGAAACATTGTTTGGTCATCTGTGGAATTATTACAAGCCTACCAGCACTACTGTCAGCTGTAATAGTATCTAATATACTATCACCTGCAACAGAGAAGTCCTGTGTCTCAAATCTCAAATAAGTCAGTCAGATCATTTGCTTTAGCCAGCTCATCCATTGTATGGAAGCTCTTCTTTGAAGATTTCATGTTTTTATTGTTTGCCACAGCCTTCTGGAGTTAATTGTTTCAAAGTCACTCTCCATTGTCTCCTTGTGTTGATACCTTGCATTCCTGAGTTTTAGTTTAAGCTCTTTTTGCAGTAATTTCAGTTGCACTTGATCCTGTTTTTTAAAAGTGAGTCTTTTACGGTTGATGCAGTCTATCTCATCATTAGTTATATATGGTTTAATATTTGGGTACACTGTTCTGCTTTTCAAGAGGCAGCAAGAGGCACATCAGAGGGGTGACCCTAAATTAACAGCATTCCCCGAGATGTAGTCAGACAGAATTTGACATGAATATCTGCCTGTACACTGCAGGGAATACAGTCCCAAAGTAGCTCACATCCAGTCCACACAGTGCCAGCAGCCCAGGTCCATGTCCAGCAGGTGGTGTAGCTGGCTGACACTGGCTCAGACCAGTCTGCTGGTGAAGAATAAGAAGTGGTCCAGTTCTGTCTCCATTCAAGTATGTGGCTAATGGGTTTGTTTAAGAGGGAACATACAGTGGAGCAGTGGATAACAAAGCTGTATCTCAGTACTGGATTCCTGGGTTCAGTTTAAGACCTGGGGAGCTGTCTGTGTGGAGTTTGTATGTTCTCTCCATTTCACACTGGTTTCCTCTGTCGACCATCTGGTGGACTGACAAGCAGTCCAGGCTCCTGCGTTGAGCCCATTGCTTGCTAGGATAGGCTCTGGCTCACTCATGACCCTGAATTAGAAACCATGACAGACTGGGTGTCTCCTCCTCTCCAAACACACAGACAGCACCACTCCTCCAGCAGACTGAGGAGGAAATGAGGCAGTGGGGACTGGTCAGCCCCACAGGTGTCTAGTAGAAAGAGGACCAGGGCGAGTTTGAGGTCTCCTGCTCGACTCAGCAGGACACAAGGCTGGGCCATGAGCAGATGATGACAACAGTTGGAAGTCCTCAAGTGATTTTCACAGTGCCCTGACGTCTTGCTCTCCCCCAGCCATAACCATGATGTCATAACCATGATGTCATCAGCCATAACCATAATGTCATCAGTGCAGCTGATATAGAAGAGGCTCAATGGCAAAGAAGTGGAGTATCTCCAAAAGTTTGAGTATATCAGTGTATTTTCACAACCAATCTCCAGCAGTGATCTCTGGATATAAAAGGTACTGTAAGGCCACTAGCTTAACTAATTTCCTTGTTGTTTTTTCTTTTGTCCTGGATATTTATGTCTGTTGAGAGGACACAGTAAGACATATAAGAAATCTAAGGATTCTACTGTATACTGTATACTTCTACTATATAATTACTTTTTTTAATTCCAGAGATATTATAAAATGTTTGAGAGGACACCATTCCAGGTAGAAACTGACTATTTGGCTGGAGGTCTTATTAGGCTAGACTAAACTGTATCTTTAAACACAAAAACTGAAATGAAAAAGAATTCTGAGTCCAGAAAAAGAATTTGATAGAGTAAACAGCCTTTTGTATTTGAAACTTGTAGGGAATTGGGTTTTCATAATGGTTTTATTGTTTGGCTACATGCAATGCAAAACCAACCAAATGCACAGGAACAGCAACTTTTCAGAATAGGAATTAAACAAAGAAAATTCTGAAGCAATGTTATTGGAGAATCTACTGTATATCCCTGGAGATAAAAAATAAATTTAATTTACGATAAAATTGGGATAAGATAAAATGTAGGGCAAATGTAATACCCAGAAACATAGAAATCATTAAAATGTAACTAAGAGGTGCTAAAAAATCAGGTTAAACAAAACTTGAATAGATGGAAATTGATGCCTCTCTCATTCTTGGGAAGGATGAACATAGCAAGAATGGAGGTACTTCCAGGGTTTCTGTTTTGTTCCAGACCTTCCTTATTCCCCTCAATGACGATTACTAAAACGTTTGTCTATTTTATGTGGTTTAAAGTCAGGGTCCCATGCTATTTCTCTCAACCCAAACAACTATTCCTCTATTTAGTTTCTTTCATAATACAAATTATTTTCTTTGGCATTACTAGATTTAAATTGCAAAATTTATTTATTTTTATAATGCTTTGCATTATATTAGGTGTAAAACAATGTTTTAAGTGTGATGAACAGCTCGTCACCATTTTGCTGGGGAGCTGTCACTCAGGTAGTTGAAGCTTTAAGGTGAGCTGCACATTAGTAAGACTGTAGAACTGGGAGTGTCTGAGTGGTGTAGGTTTTACCTGAGGTTTTCTTCCCTCCCAAATAAATCTAGATTAAAGTTAGCCCTGAAATTTGACTTTATCTGACATTACAGGGATAAGTTTATACTGTCAGCTAATTGACAAAGAAGGCAGTGTAGCATTAGAAAAACATCAACATCACTCAATAAAAAAATATCCAATTCAGGGTCACAGTTACCCAGAGCCTGTGCCAGGAAGCACTGGACACAAGGCAGGATTGAACCCTGTACAGGATGCCAGTCTATCAAAGGGCACACAACCACACCAGTGCCAGCTTTCCCCAGAAGCCTATTAACCTGCCAGCATGTTTGTGGACTGTTGGAAAAAACTGGAACACCACACAAACATGGGGAGAATATACAAACTCCATACAGATAGCACCCCAGGTCTGGAATTGAACCGAGGGCCCCAGTGTGATATCTCCTGCACTGAGCTGATGGAAGCAGTAACCTGGAGACTGAATCCAGGCACAGGCTCTGCTGGAAGCAAGCAGGGCAGGCAGGAGAAAGTGAAACTAGAGACGTGATCGAAAAGGCAGGGGTTGAGCTGAGAGGAACTGATTAAAGCACCAGGGAGAGTCTGAAGGAGAGTCATTTAACATGGAGGGTTCAAAGCACAGGGATCAGTCCAAGATGTGGTCAAACAGGCAAAGTCAAAGTACAGAGAGAGGAGAAAACGCTGGGGAAAGCTAAGAAGAAGAAAATGAGACTCTGAGATGAGAGATTAACAAATTGATAAATTTTGCATTCCGAACTTTCTTCCAAAGCTACATCCTTTCAGATGTGCAGTATGTACAATATCAGAAAACAGAGGAGGGATACTCAAGAGTTAAAAGTAAGATGCAAATGAGAAAAGGAGGTTGGCACCTCCACAGCAATTGAATAATCTAAAACAATTCAAATGTACATAAATCCACCAATTCACATTCATGGAGAGAATTTCAAATCAATTCAATATTGGAAGAAAGAAAATGTTGGAGGAATGGCTGGGAACACCTGGCATATTGTAAATAGTTTTGGTTTGAAAATAAATTGGGGAAAGTTCCTGGAAGAAATATCTGGGACAAACACCAGATGATCTGCTTTCAGAGGCAGAAAGATATTTGTTTATAACTGCAGCCATGAAATAAATCACTAGAAACAGACCTTCTGTTCAAATGAAGAAGTACTCTATGAATGAAATGTCATGGAGAATATTACTGACAGAATTCTAAACCAAAAACAACATATATATATGTGTGTGTGTGTGTAAACCAGATGGGCAAGATTGCATATTGAATCTCTCGGTAATGAGATATTAACAAATAACAATAGTCAGAAATTGCATAGCAGTTTTTTGTCTTTGTATATGCCTGGATTCTTTTTTGTTTTGTAATTCCTAGGTGTGGATGCATGTGAAAAAGGCAATATTCTGTGTCTCAGCATACCTAAATAAAACAATAAAAAACAAAGAAATCACCCAAGTTCACTTACTTCAGTGTTGTTAATTTACAGTTGGGGTCCCTCAGAGCTGCAGACAACAGTTTCACTCCTGAATCCCCCAGGTTATTGAAACTCAGATCCAGCTCTCTCAAACTGGAGTGTTGAAACTGAACAACAGAGGCCAGATCTTCACAACATCTCTCTGTTAGTTCACACCATGACATCCTGCAGACAAAAAGACAGGAGCACAGCTGAACATCTGCACAGCTCATCCACATCTTTCTGTCCAAGTCATCACTACAGCACCCAGCTCAACAGTAATATACAACATCATGTCATTATCCTTCTCAGAGAGTCCATGGATGAGGATGATGAAGACAACAGCTGTTTCAAATCTGGGTATGCAGGAGGAAAAAGAAAGATGAGAAGAAATTGTCAGAAAGGTAGACGGTGGAAAACAGGGAGACACACAGAGATACAGTGAAAAGGGAAACAAAAGATTTTTTTATAGAAATGTTAAGGCAACATACTCTTTTGAACAAAATAAACGAATGGAACAAAATCAAAAAACAACCAAAATTATAGCTATAACAAGACAATAAAAATGTGAACAGCATACAAGCCCAAACCATATACTGTATACTGAAGACCCCCCCCCCCCCCAAAAAGGAAAACAACCAAAAAGATCATGAAAATACATGAATGCCATTTATCCCAATAATATACAAAACTGCAGTTTTCACAAATGCAAGACTCTCTACTCACATGTAACAGTGTCAGAAAACCAGACCTTTTCCAACATAAGTATTTTCACAGTTTTACTAGAGGAACTGTAGTTAGATTCTGCTCTTCATCAGCCCCTCAAACACTCACCTCCTCTACAGATCCTTCACCTGAGATTGTGTTCATGCTGGTCTTAAGCCCAGCAGCCCAGCAGAAAGTGCACTGAGCAGAATTCTCTTCTTGTTGACATAACTCACCCTGAACACAACAGCAGGGCTGCTGAAGGCCAGACTACGGTCAGTGAAGAGGAGGATCATGAGGATTAACAAGGATGTCAGACAGGAGCAGGTGCTATAGCAGTGAAAGACCAGCTCCCTCTCGGAACAGTAAGAACAGACATCAGACACAGATGGATCCAAAACAGACACAAACTAATTGGCACCCGGGATAGTGCACATGATTCTCCACTAGCAGATCACCAGCTCTGACAATAATTAAATTTAAGCTTCATGGTCCCATTGGAGACATTACTTTTACAGCACACTCCCAACATAACAGCACGATGACAGGCAAAAGTTTGCCAATAAAGAAGTCAGTGAAACAGCGTTACAGTACGATAAGGGAGGAGATACGATACATTGTTTGAAAGAGATATTGCAGTAGGTACGAAAGATTTCCTGTTTCTATTAGTATTACACTTGGGGACACAGAGGCGTCTCCCAGATGGGAGAATTGTTAACTCACAATGCAGAGGGTAAGAGACACAATCCACAGTACACAGTTTCTCTGCCACTTTCTGTTTGAAGATGATATTTAAGGCGATTTGATTTGCCCGATTTATTTGCTACTTAATTTGACTAGTTTTTCCAGGCTTTTACAATCAATGGTACTGATGCTACCAAACCAGCAAGTGAGACAGTATATTCATACACTTTTAATCAAAGACTTGAAGAAAAGTGATAGGATGGTTCTATCTACCTTGAAATTGCTAAGCCTACTTAGAAAAGAGTCTCTGTTGGTTTTTTTTTTATAAATGGTGTTGCAGCATTTGTCCTAACTCAGGTTTTTTTCTCTGATCAGTCCCGAGTACCTGTAGGCATTGACAATTTTGACAGTCTGAACATTAGTTACTGTAGATTGGAGCGGTGTTGCATTTTTCTTAAAATCAACGACCAGCTCCTTTGTTTTTAAAACATTACCTGTAAGGAGAACTCTTCACCCCATTTACTACGGTCATTTAGAATGGGTCAATGATGGTTTTCTGAGTCCCTTAGTAAGCTGACCAGGGCTGTGTCCTTAATGTACATGTAATGTCCTTAATGAAATGTACAGTAAGGGAGACAAAACAGAGCCCTGTCATGATCCAGTGGAAGCACAGAGAATGTCTAATTAACCAGTTCCCCAGTTTGAACTGTTCAGTCCTATTTGTTAAGATGTTTAGGACCTACAGTAACTTATCAATATACTCTTTAGCATGACGTTCTGAGAGTATCTATGCAAGCTGCAATTTTTGTATTGTGTTAAAAGCAGAGAGAAAGTCAACAGATAATATCTTTACATATGACATTGCGTGATCAAGTTGCTGATAGACCAGATTTAACAATGTGAGTATTGCATTGTCTGCCCCCTCCTTTCTCTGTATGCAAACTACAGGGGGTCAATGAGGTCTTGTGAGTTTTTTGTAATGTAATGCTTTAAGATTCTCTCCAGACTTTTCATGGGAGAGATGTAAGAGCAGCTGGCCTGTAGCTGTTAAGCTCAGTTGGCCTGGCAGTTTTTGTAAGAATAATGATTGAGTTCTTTCGCAGAGAAAGGATGATTTGTAGATTGGAGGACATTTGAAAAAATGCAGCTGAGCTGCAGAAATGCAGCTGAAATGGAAATCTATGACAGGCAGGATGCAGATCATCAGCTGTTTTACTGAGGGAGATCTGTACAGGCTTCCCCAGAAATGATGTGTATCCTACTGCACCCCCAAACGAGTTCTCTGGGGAGTGTGAGGGAGTGCAGATAGCCAAGATCTGTGCACAGCCTCTACAGAGCTTTCTCCTCAGCTGTGACCAGAGACCAATCCTCTAAGATATGAGACTCTATGACAGTGAGAGCAGGGATATGAGCAGGCTAGGCTAGAGAGAAGGCACTATAGACCTGAGAGGCAGTGCAGATAAAATCTGACATGGATATCTGCAGGTGGTGTAGCTAGATGACTCTGGCTCAGAGCAGTCTGTTGGTGAAGAATGAAAAATGGCCCAGTTCTGTCTTCCATTTGAGGAGTATGGATATTGTTGGTTCAGGCAGATAACACAGTGGCTCAGTGGTGAACATTGCTGTATCACAGTGCTGGGACCCTGGTCATCCTCTCCAGGGCCCTGTATTGTGCCCATTGCTTATCAGGTCTGGCTCCAGCTCTCTCATGAGATTGAATTAGAAACAGTAGAGTCCAGGACCAACAGGGCAGCTCCTCATCTCCACACACAGACAGCCCCACTCCTCTAGCAGACTGAGGGGGAAAGGAGGCAGTGTGGACAGGGCAACCCCACAGGTGTCCAGTAGAAAGAGGACCAGGGTGAGTTTAAGGTCTCAAGCCTGATTCAGCAGGACACGAGGCTGGGCCATGAGCAGATGATGACAACAGTTGAAAGTCTTATAGGGTTTTTCACAGAGCCCTGAAATCCTGCTCTCCCCCAGCCATAACCATGATGTCATCAGTGTACTCTGAGTCCCGGATAGTAGAATCAGGGCAGCCTGGGATGGACAGTCCCCTGCTGATCCAGTGCAGCTGATATAGAAGAGGCTCAATGGCAAAGGAGTGGAGTATCTCAAAAAGTGACAGAGTACATCAGGGTATTTTCACAACCAATCTCTAGCAGTGATTACTAGATTTAAAAGGTGTTATAAGGTCATGAACTTCACTCATTTTCTTTGACATGGTCTCTCGATCAAAGCCTGGGTGAGAAATTGACCATGTGACTGCTTTCACCTTGTCCAATTTAGGAAACTAAACTTTAGTATACAACAGCAGCCCAGAGAGAGCAAGTCCATTCAAACCAGAATGCTGCCTGAGACTTTGTCTGTCACAGGGGAAATCTTGTGATTCACAAACCAGCTGTGAGTTTCACTTAAATTCAGTTAACATTGATACAGTTGGACTTCATTGTTGACAGAGTATATAATATTCTGATGTATATTGTGATATTCTATGCAATAATCTACAGTAGGCAGTAAGAGCACTATATCCTTGGACAGTCTGAGTTCTTTCACTTGCAGCAGGACTCGAGTCAGGTTCTGTGTTCAGACTTGCACCAAGATCAGCAGCGCTCTTCCTGTTGGTGATGAGAGCAAGCCTCACCCTTTAAGTTTTTAGTATGGCCAGCTGACACAGACATCCAGAGGCAATTTCTGTCTGGAATGATATCCCCTCAAACATTTTGCAATATCTCTGGACATGGAGACACTAAAGCCCTGCTTTAGAGCTTAAATTGAAGCTACCTTCTTGAGCATTAAGTGTACGAAATCATATTTCTTTTATGTCTTACTGTTTCCATTCAGCAGACAGAAATATCCAGGAAAAAACACATAAAACAAGAAACAGATTTTTTTGTCTTCAAAGATCAATATTTTAAGTTCTGGACCTTAAAAAGTCTGAAAATGCTTATAGACTTTCCCTATAGTATGTGTCTTCTAGAGTGAATAAAAAATAAAAATAAAAATTTGAGACAAACTGAACAAATCTAAAAAATTCAAAATCTTTTATTGTGAAGACCTGGAATGGTATTACTAAGTGTGTGGGCAACTGAAACGCCAGCATCTGAGCTCTGTACTAAAAAAAGTATTACAGTGGAAATTTTCCGGTTCTTTTAAAACTATTATAACATAAAATGGAAAATGTGTGTTTTTTCATCTGTTCATTTAGCAGTATTCACAAATAAATGTGCACTTTCCTTCACAAATCTGATGAGCCAAAGCTGAACAGTTTCCTTTTACCTGATTCAATTGGTTTTAGAAAACATATCTTCTGGATACTCGGTTAAAAACAAATTTCTTTCCTGAAAATTACATTTAACCCTAACCCTAAACCAACTCTGGTGAACTTGGCCATAGTTATGCTACTCAGACCTGACTACTGTTTCTGAATAGCAGTGCCATCAATTCAGATCACTATAGGCCTTATAATAAAATGAATTTTCTCCATTTTTATGTTTTTCTATAACTTGCTACAGTATATGTTTTGATTAATGTATAATGTATATTATTTTAATATATTTATGTTTATTTTAGTGTCGGGTAAAATGATTGTCTTTTCTGATGTTTTCAAAACCTTTTGTCCTTCCCCATTTTCAGTATTTACAGTTTGTGGTTTAACCTCAGGGGGAGGGACTGGCCTGTTTTATATAAAAGGGGGAGTGGTGCCAAGAAAGTGGAGTCCGTCTTGCTGAGAGGCTCAAAGGAAGCAATGGCTTAGTGAATTATTAAAGGGCTTTAAAGCTGTTTTCAAATGAATTACATGAAGCCAATTTAAATTTCAAGGTAGACTGTCAACTCTTTTAGTTGATATATTTCTATTCTAATGTTATTAGCTCTGATTTATTATTAGGGTCAATAATTTTGGTCTACATGATTGAGAG